TGTTGTTGTCATCAATTCAGCCGCTAGGCGTCTACGGCCTCATATAGGCCCCTCATTGTCGTCCAGACAGGCCGATGAAAGCGACCTGTATCCAGCGCCTGTCCTAACTTCTGTCCACCTTGCAGTATACGTCTGAAGTTGAAATGAGTAGTTGTTTAATGTTTAGATGTTGAGCTGAGACACGTTACATACAATCACTCTTATCGTTTACAAAGTGGTCAACAAGTAGAAAGTTTACGTTTAGTCTGGTTGGTCGCATTTTTTATTTTAGTTTAGTGGAGTGTAAGGGTTGCCCCCTGCTATGCAAATTAAGCAGGTGCGTGAGAAGGGCGGCGCGGTGCCCCTCTTGTATGTAGCGAGTAGTGCAAGTTGGAGCCGTGTGGCAGCGCTGTGAGCGTGAGTCTGACGCGCATGCGCGCGACACACCCTCCGCCGCTGTTTATTTATCCGCCAATACTTCGGCGAGCGCGACGCGTCCACCGCCGCCACACGCTCGCCATCACTGCGTCCCAGAGAGCAATGTGTTGAGACTTTGAGAGCTTTCCTTCCTGCTGTGACTGCGATGTGACTGGCCTGCGACTCCTGCCGATCTACTGAGCACTGCACTCGGTTCTCCCTCCGAAGTTACGGTGAGTAGTGGAGATTATATCTTATGAATGTTGCACTCATTCCGTGACCTTGACATGGTGCTGATGGACTGTTGGTGCAACCACATGCTAAATACTGAGCACAAGTAGTTACGGACGCAGCTGTGGGTGGTACTGTGGTAGGCAAAACTAATTTAAACGTTTTATCTCTTGTCTATTCTATATCAGTGTTCTGTGCACGGATGTACTTATAAATAGCTTTCCCAGATTCATACCTGCCTGCATTAGGCATGGTAAGTATACCTGGGCAACGATCTGTAAATATGAAAAGACTTATCTATTTATGTGCAAACTAAAGGGGGAGCGTTAGGTTTTGCGTCCATTAATTATATCTGCACAAGCATATACAATATATAATATGTCTTCCTATGATGGACATACGTCGACCAGACGAGGTGCAGTCCCTGGGCAGTACTAGTCGTCTTGCCTTATGTTACTGCTACCCGATAGCTATGTGGAAGAAGATCACTCGATCCCAAATACTTTATTACGTTGAACCTTCTATCGCGCTGCCTTCCTACCACTGTACACGTCCTATGTGCCAACTGCCATTCTTGTAGCAATGCCGCGTGGTTTTGTTAACTTATACAAAGTACTTGAAACAACTGATTAAGTATTTTATAAGGAATATGGCAGCAACCATACAGACAAATCACTTGAATCATCTGATGGTAAGCAAAAAGACACGGAGTTGTTCTCTACGAAGCTCTTGCTTCTGTCTGTTCTGTTGCTCTGCGAAGATGTCATGTTGTGAACGGAGGTTACGGAAAGAAAGAAGGAGATCAGGATTCTCCTTCCCGCGGGCGAGTGCGGCAGAGGCTGCTCTGGTATTGCTTCTTATACCTTCGGTACCTGTAGCCCCTGTCGGTCACAGAGCCGCGTTTGTCACCAGTTGTAGTTGTTACCTCGGAGCGACATCAATGTCACGGTCGCGGGCACCGGCGCATCGACAGCACGCGTGCATTGTTCATAATTACGTCCAGTTAAACTATCTTATTGTCTGTATTGGTCTCAATTGATCACTCCGTCTGTCTGTGTCACCGTGTCACTCCGTGCGGGCGGCACGTGAGCGGACTAATACTACCTACAGTTGCAGTCCGATGAGACTCCATTGAACTTTGTGCCCAGTATTTATTGCTCAACGTCAACAACTCACGGGTTGATCTCATACTTACAGATGTCAAAGTGACATTTACTTTACGACGCGGTTACAGACAGAAAACGAATTGTTGTTCCGAGTTTCCATGAGATATGTCAGGAATGAATAGCTTTATAATCTGTGAATGATGGCGCAGTGTCACGATGCAGCCGACGGTGTCTCCGTGGGCGTGGGTGTCGTCCCTGGACCGGCGCGCGCGCACTCGTGCCGCCGCCGAGCACGCGCGCCCGCACTACAGGGAACACGACAAGTTCGCCTTCTACGGACTGCGCAAGGACACGCGACACTTCATCAGGTACCGCTAAACATTGTTATATTAGTGACACCCGTAATGTGGTGGGGGGAGGGAGAAGTGATCATCACAAAATCACATCTCTAATGGAGCAAAACTCAGCACATTAACATCAATTACCTACTGTAACAGCTCAATTAGCAGCACCAGCAGATGCTACTTCAATCTGTCGAATTTCCGTAATGGATCTTGAAATTATTAGTTTTTTTATTGAAGCATTGGTCCGTAGTACTGCATGTTCTGTACCAGTTGATACAAGTACGTATATGTTGCAGACTGGACCCGCTGCCGAAGGGTCTGCTCCTGCCGCGGCAGTGGGCGGCTCCCACCGCGCCTCCCATCACGTGGCGCGTGGACCGCTTCCATGACGTCGATACCTGGGAGATCTCCAACATGAAGGTTGATTCGATTATATCGATATTTATTGTTGTCAAAATGCCAAGTTAAATGCGAGAATAATTCGGAGCTTGGTGATTAATGGTTATAGTGCAAATAAATTTGATTGGACTTGAGATTGTTGGATTGTAGATGTAAGATAATAATGGAAAGTGCACTAGTTATTAATTTGCATTAAATGTCTTGTAAATGTGATCTGATATTTTAAAGTTAATTTATATATACCACCTATACAGCCTAAATGTTAAGCTATGATCATAAGGTTATCTGAAAAAGTTTTGCCGATTAGGTACAGTAAAAAATATCATCGATTGTCGTTAAATGTAATTGCATCATTACGACCCATCTTACCTAATGTGAACAACTGTAAGAAATAACTTGAAAAACAATACCGTTATCGATTTGCGATTGTTTATTCTTCACGCATTGACATCTGAAAGGACAAATTAATTTTCAATTTTTTTTAATCGATTCTAATAATATCGAGAATCGATTCTATCGGCATGGTATGCTCTATCGGATGTTTGTGAGTTTGTAAATGTTGGTTTACGTCATAGTTTGTCCAGTTGAAGGCATTTTTATTGTAAACGTTTATCGTTCCTGTGGACTGACGGGATGATTGCATTTTTTCATTAATTTTTGACATTTAATTTGGAGAATGTTGGCTCTTTTATTGTTCGTGTCTCTATAAACAATATTGAACCTTGTTGTCATTGTCATAAAGGTTTTTGTTTTTGAACAGTTGACTTTAGTCTCGTCGGCCGAAAGAGCTTTCATCAATACGTTAATCGCAGTTTTTTGTTGTGGAAAATTATTGATTATTATCGATAATTTTCGCTTATGGTCACCATCTTGTGGCGTTGTGACTACGTTGTATGGCTCCCACTTTTTATATAGCAGCTTATTTTAATATACTGTGTGTGTTGTTCGTGTATTTTTTTAACTGATTGTTCTCTGCCATTTATAAGAGGTTATCAAGAACTTATGACACTGTTATGACTTTATTGTTATTAATATTACTGAAAGAAATATTTAGTTGTTTATTGGCAGACTCTTAAGTCGTCTGGTCTCCTCTTTTTTGTTAACCTTTTACGCTTTACAGAAAGAGGGTTGCGATTCTATTTAACTTAATTAAATCTTGT